GGAGAGACAGACGATGTCTTTTGATCGACAGTGTCCTTGATCACGAAGACGAAGACACACGCCTCAGAAAAACAGCACAGCAAAGATCTACAAGAAGCTGAAAGAACTAAGTTACAGCACCAGATTTGTGGAAAAGAAAAAACATAAAGAAAAAAGGGAAAACAGAACTGAGAACTCAAAGTTAGAGGGAGAAGGAGCTAAGAACTTAAAAAAAAAACAAGAAGAAGAAGGAGGATCAGAGGAAGAGGAAGAAAAGTAAGACCGTTAAGACGAATTACAAGAACGAGACAAGACTTTAGAGGGAAAGAAAAAAAGGTAAAAAAAATTGCGATTAGTTACGTAATCAACCATTTTCATGTTCCAATATCCAGAAAGAGAAATACGAAACAGCGCCTTTAAGAATTTGACTGATCTGTTTCGATAGACATAAGTCATGGTTTCGATGACCCCCGCTTTAATTGACACTTTTCACAAGATGGAATAGACCCCCTTCCCTCCTTCCTTTAGTACTCCCAAACAATTCCATAAAGAAAATTGTTGAACTGCCATTGACGAAGACCTTGCCGTTTGAATCGGCTATTCGACGAATATTTTGATCTACTAATTCACGTATCTTTTGTTTTCTTTTCAGCTAATACGAARACCAAAACTATACACATATTTAGATATGGAAATGCTTGAAGTCACAACAGAGAATCCTTTACCACAGGATCAGGACAAATGCTTCAACAATGCAATTTTGAAGGAAATTCTAAAACCGCTACTTCTTCCAATGAGGTGGCTGGGAATATCGTACGGTGATTTATTCCAGTCTTACAGATCCRGCACCGTGGGACCTTTGATGACCACAGAAATGAGCATGGTTGATAAGAAAAAGACCACAAAGTTACAATTCTGCCTGTGTCTATTCGTCTCAGTTGTGCTAGTGTCTTAYTGCGTTTTCAGTTTCAKTGAGTTGGTCGTAGTCAGGAATACCTTCTCCGCGATGACTCGATTGGTGATCTTCCTTTGGCTTGTGCTTTGCGCATGCCAACAACTAACATGCCTGCTGACAACAACATATTGCACCAAGAAAGATCCTTTGTCGAGGTTTCAGAAGTTTGTCAAGTCTTTGCAGCTTGTAAGAGCAGAGAACATCCCAAAACATAAAAAGAGAATCCGAACTGTAATGGGATGGGGTTGGTACTGCATGATTTTGAATACGATTGTACTTATGGTSGCGCTTTACATCGGCAACGAAGAAATGAGAAWTGGCACAAGGTTGATGTATTTTGGGATGTCAAACTGGACCGTTGCTCACTTTGACATCATCACCAACAGCTACACCGCGGTGCATATTTTTMTSTGTGCATCCTGGGTACTCCCGGTCTGCTACTATATCTGTCTATGCCTGYTCGTCACCGGRTGCTTCTCCGATCTCTTTGAAAGGACTGAGAAAGTCATATCAGAAAAGARGCCCTTAAATCTGGTCGACACCCGTCAACAATATGTTCGTCTYTGTCAMGTCGTGTCCACGCTYAATGATCTTCTGTCCCCTCTTGGAATCATCAACTTTGCCATCTACATCCCACAAGTGTGCCTTAATATCAACGTTTGTGTTTTGACATTTAAAGCAGGGAACATAGTCACTGGCGTCGCCTATTCATTCTGGATCTCGTGCAGTTTTGTGATCCTTCTTGTACTCTCCATATCTGGATCTTCGGTGAACTATGCGGTAGGTCAAAAGTTTCTTTTTTTCTCAAACACTCAATCGACCAACCAGTAAACTATACAGTCAATCAAACTAAACACAAACTAGCCGAGCGAGCAAGCACTGGAGCAAGCAGGCAGAATGCATGATAGAAAATAAAGGAAAGTTAAACTGCTTTTAAGGAGGTCATTCCGGGACTCTTGGAAATATAAATTCGGAAAAAAGTAATTTCCATCCTAGCTAGCTRGGATTCTAATCCACAAACGTCAGATTTGTAATAACGATGCTCTAACCATAAATATCAATTTCAGGKCCGTCGTCTCTCTGAAGTTCTGTACGATATCGACGTCAGTGAATTGGACAAAAAGAGTGAGCGCGAGGTATGTTCACCTTTTTTAACATTTTTCTYTTCGACCGWAAACAAGTCACGTGTTGCGTTCTAACAAGCATTTTCTCCTTCAAGCTGATGTTCCTTCTGTCCAATCTGAGCACTAATACGGCTGATATTACAGTTGGGAATGTGGTTTCCATCGATAAGAAAATGATTTTAACGGTAATATTTTTTTACTTACTGTCCTTTTTTCATAAATACGTAGTATTGAATTTGTTTATTCATCTCTTTTCCAGGTTTTTGGAACGATTCTTGGTTATTTCACAATTCTGGTGCAGTTCGCGGATTAATTTTCACAATATCCTTATGACAAGCACTATTACATTAAGCGAGTAAATACTATCGATCTCTCACTTTTATCCAGGAAGACAACTTTCTATATCATATTGACCTTGTAAATCTGATACAAAACTAGTGTTGTATCAGATTAAAAAAACGGTCGTCACCTTTAATCGGAGACAACCCAACACTAGCAAAGTTCTCAGTTTTAGTATCGCATCATAGACCTTCACTAGGTTTTGAAGCAATCAAATACAGATAGCAGCACTCCCTTATGCGACAGATGGCATGCCTTCCATGTGCGATGAATAATTTTTCAAAATGTTCTCTGTTGCATTAACAGTGACTAAACTCAGTACTCGGCTGCGGCTCGAGTTTGTAATTCCCATACAACACGGACTTTCATCATGGTGCATAGGTGAAATAACATCAAAAAAAGGCTACCTCTTTGTACTTTATTTTAAAGATAAACATCTCTAATTTATTGCTGATAAATATCCAAGCATAATTAATGTAAATAATGTTACTAGTGGTTCATTTGCATATATCTAGGGTCTTTTCGTACGAAGTTAACGCATGCATTATGCATTTGAACTGTTGAATAATAAACTATTAAAACAATACCTTCATTCTGTAAATTTCAATTAAAACACTTTTATGAGCCGAATGCATGTAAATGCGCTTGTAAATTCAAAGGGAGTTTTTAAAGTTAATTAATTCAAGATGGCGACCCATCTTGGGAGCCTGCGTTACATTGCGGTTAACGCTGTAAGCAACACAAAGCCTTTTGATTTCATACTCCAAAGTTTTATTCTCCTTGGATTTCGTATTATCTTACTAAGGCGAGTTATCGAAGCCAAGGCCAAAAGGGGCATAAAACTTCATAACGCTCATTCAAACGCAATAGGTGTTTTAATATGTGTATATATAAAGTATATCAACGTCATGATACTTCCCTGTATCACTTTGTTATTTCGTTCAAACTATTTCAAATAAATAAAAATATTGCTTTAATTTGTAGTTAACTGCTTAACCCTGCACGTCTCGGTTAAATTTCTTTCGCTTCTTTGTCTTTCYACTTAAAAASCTTTTCTTSAGATAATTCAAACTATTGTCATTCAAAACCATTCAAAAGCAYCRTTTMGCTACGAARACCAATCAATTTCTAGCATATAAATGGTGCTACACAAGAACGATGAAGTGCTCAATTCTTTTCAATAACAAAACCTTTGCTTTTGACAACCTGTCTTTCATATTACACCCCAAGTTGTGATATTGTACTCTAGTGTCGAATGCTCTTTTAAAAGAGTTGCACGCACCAGGCTGACCAGAGCAAAGATAACAAAAGGGTCAAAATAGAAGCAAAAAAGCTGCATTTTGCCAGGTAAGTAACGAGAGGCGGAGAGTAATGAAGTAATCAATCGATTTGAAACGTCTTAACGTGTTTGCTACCCTAAACGATGATTTCCTTCGACGAAGACCGAAAGTAGAATAGATTAACGAGATTAATACATCTTCACACCTGCTTGGCAAGAATCAATATCTGATATTTTTCAAAGCCATTTAAAAATTCATCAGCTAAAACGGAAATTTTTTGCTATATTTTTATTATTTCACGATATCGTTCATTTCGTTTGTGTACAGAATGACGATAAAAAACATCTTCAAATCTGGCCCCATGAGCGACAGCGATACCAGCGAAAACATGGTCAGCGGCGACAACGATCTGAGGGTAATTCTGYACCCATTACTGAAGTCAATGAGATATTATGGGTTGTTGTATGACGAGATGAATGGATTGGGTACGACAAGATTAASAACCATATCCCCAACAAAAGGTGATGAAGAACCGAGGTTTTCTGAGAATCGTAAACAATGTCAGGTTAAGTTTTGGCTCCTCTTTTGTATCTCGACAACAATGGCTTTAGCAAGTGCTTGTGGTTATTGCTTCAGAGGTATAATATTAGCAAAGAYACACCTTGAAATACTCACTCGCATTATGATATTTGCCTGGGTTTTYCTCTGCGCATGTCAACAAGTAATATGCCTGCTGACCATATCAAGGCGAACGCCGTCAAATCCGCTGTCTAAATTCGATAGGCTCGTCAGAGAGTTCGCAAAAACACAAAATTCCAAAAAAGGCACCAAGGTTGTTCGTACTGTCACCATGYTTGGTTGGGGTGGAATGTTTATCAGCGTTGCCATAGTGATACTAGGAATCTATTATCCCGATGATGCAATCAAAACAAGCAGCAGAGACTTTTTCTTTGGACATGAGATACCAAACTCGAGTAAAACTATTTTAGTTCATCTCTACACACCACTGCATCTTCTTCTAAGCGGCGCCTGGTGTTTCCCGACTTGTTTTTACATCGTTCTTTGCGCTCTCGTAGCTGGAAAATTTGATGATCTTTTCGAGCGAGCGTCGGAGGCGATTTCTAAGAAGAGTTCCAATATGGCGGCACTTCGTCGGGAACATGTGCAGCTTTGTCACGTGTTACGAGCGCTTGACGACTCCTTGTCTTGGCTTGCCCTGGTAGCTTTTGCCGTCTACATCCCTCTAGTATGTCTTGGGGTCAATGTCTGTATCATGACCATATCACARGACTCGGTAATCAACATTGTTGCTTATTTTACCTGGATCTGCTTCAATGCTGTGACACTGTTGATGTTTGCTGTTTCTGGTGCACGTGTCAACACATCGGTAAGGTTTAWTGAGAAACAGACCGTCTCCAGAAAATCCGAACATTCAATGATTTAAATATATTAAAAACGAATCCTTAAGGCCCGTTTACACTTCCGATTTTTGCACTCTGATTGTCGCGCGAAAATCGCTACTATTGCGCAACTTAAAATCGTGCTTGTAAACAGAACTGCGATTGTGAAGGGCGGTAGTCACGCGACGATCGCCGGGARAATCGATCTGCAAAACGTGCCTTTTCCATGCAACAATATAATATAAAGATAAGTCAATAATGTTGTTGCTGAGGAATCCCAATCTTTCGCAATCAACACCAGACGAGTTCGAAATCAAAATCTTCAATCTTTTCGTTGTAGGCGTTTCGTTTATCAGAAGTCCTGTACGACGTTAATGCTAAAGACCTAGACAGCAAAAGCGAACTAGAGGTAATCATTTAATCGAGTTGTTGTTCATGTTTGATTCACAAAGAATATCAATACAAGGGCGGCGGAAATCGGCAGTTCGAGGAGGAACCGCCCCCATCAATTTTTTGGGGGGAAATTGGTACAAAAGCACTAATAATTATATTTAATGTCATTATTATAACAAGCAATGTATCCTCTGACTTCTACTATTGAACATTCTGCTTATGACGCTGTAATCAAACTAAACAGTGGTCACTATATTATGACGTAAATATAATATTGGTACCCCATTCCCAAGGTAAATATGCAGATTCGGACACTTAACTATTCCAAGTTAAAAACCTCTTTTTTTACAGCTAATGCTCCTTTTGACAAACCTTAATAGCAACTACAATGGTCTAACGGTCGGAGGAATGCTGCCTATCACTAAAGGAATGATTCTCACGGTAACTTATTATAAAAAAATCAGTATAAAGTGAAAAAATAAAATAAAATAAGAAAAGAAATGCAAAAAAAATGTGGTTGCATAAAAATGATCCGACAATGTCATATTCTTTGAATTGCAGGTTTTTGGMACCATTCTTGGATATCTGACAATTCTGATACAATTCAAGTAATAAATGTACACTATGGATAATATAGAATGATCGCTTTGGACTCCCTGTGGAAGAGAGAGGATGGGGACTGGGTTTGATATCTAGCCTACTTTAGCTATTTTTTTGTTGGGCTCCCTACGGAAACACGTGGAAACTACTAAACTATCAATAAACCACRCTAGTTTTCCRCTAYAGGGGAAAAAAGCGTCTATCTATGRTCCACTGCCGACAAACTTACTAGTCACGAACTAAAAAAAAGAAATATCCTTGATTGTAAGTCAGTGACAATATTCGTTTTAATGTGTTTTATATAATTTTCACATAATGCTCCAGCTTATTAGTTTATAGGTAATAATTTAAACTCTATAAATATACTCTCTTAAATATAATCTATACATTGTATATATTTCAGTGAAAGGAATGTGTTTTCGTCATATATGCTTTCAAACCACGTCTGTTCGGGCTCAAGTAAATCGCATGTTTTTGAAACATTTCATTACTAAGTTACCAAAGCTTGTTGGACACTGATCATGTGATCGGTTGTTTTGTTTTCGAAGGCGTTGCAGATAAAATCACGTGATAAAATGGTTTTTCAATCTTCCCAAATGCGCAAGTTCTGCGATGATGACAAAATTTTGCGAAGACATCGACTTGACAAATTTTCTCACGTGATATATTTTGCCACGTGATAAAATTTTAAAGTTCCCGGATGACTACACCATTTGTACCTGCTCCTCGTCCTCAACCTCATCTTTGATTCCAAAAAGTTTTTTCATTTTATCCACAAGAATTTTCTCCCCTTCTTCCAAATAAGCGCCGGTCTGCATTTCAAAACGGTTGCACACGAGTTTACGAACCGCGGGCGGTAGAAGACCTAGATCGGACTGCAAAAGGGCCGACCAATCGAACGGAAATGAAGCAATCTTCTCTTGGTCGAAGTCGTACTCACCGATAAGATTGTACTTTTGTAAAGGATTGAATGAACAGAGAGAGTGGGATTGGGACTGAGTTGAGGAGGGTTTCGGGGGGAGGATGTGACCAGGGATTAGTATGAGATTCATCAGCCAGCCCTAAGAAAAGAAAGAAGAAAAATATAGATCATAATAATGCATTACAGAGAGAAAATATTATAAGCGTTAAAAGGCCTATGACACCAAGCCTACTTCTAACATATTAAAATGAAGAGAATAGTAGCTTGGTTAAAGGCAGGGTTAAACTGGAATAAACAGCGTGCTTTATTGCGATACATGTATCTTCGATGTTATTAGTTTCGCTTCTCATTCATTTTTCAAATTTGCCATTATTTTTCTTACTTTGTTGTCGACRAGAAAGCGATAAACATGGAACATCGTTCTGGCACCTGAAAACACAAATCAGTAGTTGAATAAATGAACGGAAATGGATGGATGAACGTGATAAATGACGGGAGGACGGTTAAAGTAAGGCAGGGAAAAGTAAGGCAAGAGACAGAGAGGAAGGGGAGGAAGGCAGTGAGTAAGGGAACAAGGGAGTGATAGAG